AAAGAAAGAAAGAAAGAAAGAAAGAAAGAAAGAAAGAAAGAAAGAAAAAGAACAGACAGGCCCAATCAGTTTAGACTTTTCCTCTCTTAAATTCAAAAACCACTGAATCCCTAGAGAACCTTCAAGATTTTAGGACACTTATTTCAGTGAGAAAAAATCATCAACAGACAAGATCCAGGCAACACCTGTTTTCAGTCTGCTTAACAGAAGGAAGCGGTGGAAAATCTCTCATAGGATATTCCTTCTTCTGCACTTATGGTTGTTGATTCAGATCATCATCTATTAAAATTTTGTATCGTATGATTTCAAGAAACTCCCTCCCACCTTTCTCACGTTGCAGCATTGGCAGTATCTGATGTGTTATAGTCATTCATAAGCTGTTCATAAGGCACTGATATTTCCATCTCATTACTGGTAAAAGTAGATTCATCAGAGGATGAAAATTTCATCAGTTTCTGGGGGCTTTGAGGCTCCTCCTGTGCAAGATTGTCATCCACTGAAGACTTTGAAGTTTCTTCATCATCTGAAAGGTTCTCTTCATCCTCATCCTCATTTACAAATGTTATGTTGGCATTTTCGAAAATCAAAGGTCGATAATCCCGCGAATCCCAGGCTTCCCCTTCTTCTTCACTGATCCGGTCCAGCTGATTTACAAACACATTGCCCTCCACTGGGCTGTCCCCAAGACGTTTGTCAGTCAAATGCCTCATCATGTGATAGTTTTGCAGTCCAAGAGAAACACTGTCATAGTCAAACATATTGTTCCTTGTGTACATCACTTTGAGGTCTTTATTGGTATTCTGTAAGGTTGGCTTGGTTTGCTCTGAGTTGAGAATTTTGTCACTGCTTGTTTTCAAAGCCTTCTTTCCAATCTGTTTAATGAGATCATTGTAACTTTCTTCCTTTTTGGAAAGGAAACTGAATATTTTGATATCTTTTGTGTTAGACATCTTAAGAACTTTTTTGGTGGGAGAGTGATTTTCAAAGGACTCTTTTCTTTTTTTCCTTCGTTTCTTGATCGCTTTATGAACCTCTACAAACATGCTGACTTTCCAATTGACAAACAGTGAAAGCCAAGCAAGACCTAAGTAGATCCACAGCTCCACAAAGTATCTATAGAGGGAGTGGTAATTCATATCTGGATTCACACCTAAAAAAAAAGACAGCACAAGAAATATAACTTCAGCTATTGTACACCTGTAGGTGTTCCATTGATCCAGAAATTTGTTAACATTACTAAAACATTTTCATGCATAAGTTGTGCTTATGGCACATTTACAGGAAGTTTCTGCAAATCTCTTAGACATCTAGCTTATCCCCTTTCTGTGACCTCAGTAGTCAACTGAGGTGCAGATACTAAGCTGACAGAAGTCTACTCTGGAAATTAGAAAGAAAAGCATTCAATGTCCATTAGCTAAATGATTATACAGAGTTAGAGTTATGATTATTTCAACATCAAGCACATACAAATAATAAATAACATTTTACAATCTAGGCGTGTGTGTTTGTCAAGTCGCCCATACATTTAGACAATGAAAGCATTGTAGATATCATCTGTCTTAGAGGAAGCAGAACAGCAAAATACACATAGTTCCATGGTTGTTGTTCCCTGAGATATTTTTTTCATCCCTCTCTTTTTGTCTTGAGTTTCTGCATAGCACAGAGACCAACACATTACTTAATCTTAATTGTAATTAGTTGTAGTACTGCTCATTTCTATTTGCATGTTTTAAAATCTTTAAAGGCAAACTGCTAAAAATTCACAAAATGACACTCAAGACAGGTTTATTACTGACCAGCAACATAGTCTCCAAATCCTATTGTGGTGATGGTAATGAATGAGAAGTAGAGGCCTTCAATGTAATCCCATTCTTCAGTCACCATAAAAACCAAAGGAGGAAGAACTAAGTGGACTAGAATGCCCCAAATGATGAAGATAGCTGTGCAAGTAATTTGTGCCTTTCTCTGTAATAAATGGAAGGAAAAAAGAAGGATCAATCATACAGTGCAATCTTAATTTAGTAAATTTCTCCCCCTCCCCATATTTAGAAAGTCCATCCTATCATATTTTTTTGATATACTGCCTTGCAGCAACAGAATAACTGTAAGCTATAGGAAGTTGCTATTATTTCTGGCTATTTTGTGCAGACGGAAACAAGGTTGAAAATTTCTACTTTACTTCCTGTTTCATCTGCATGCACGAAGTCCTATATGATAGATTAACACCATGTTATTTTTGCTTCATGAAGTGTTCTCATTAATTCCATCCCTATTTTACCAACTATAACAATAACTTGTAGAAATTCCTTGAGAAATGTCCTTTTCATAATATTTATAATTTCTTAATTTCCCTATAAAGGCTCTTTGACCTATTTCATAAGTGAAAAATGACCTACTAAATGCATTTTCCAACACTATAACCATATAAAATGTGATCTGTTAAAATAGGGTACTATTCAGGCCTGAATCATAAGCATTGCCTGCTAGAACATCCCCCCCCCCTCCAAATCAATCTAGTCCATCAGTGTATTTATTCTCACAAAGGCCAATCAACTGCACAAGGAAACTGCTGTTTTCAGCAGATGGCCTTCAGATGCAAAACCTCTCTGGTCCTTATGATTTTTATGAATTGGTCCAGCATTTTTTTGAAGGTAGCCAAACTGGTAATGAGCTTGTCATCCCAAATTCCAAAGTTCAGTTAAGTAGTGGTGTTTTTTTTTTTTTAAAAAAAACCCTTTTATTTGTCCTGATTCAATTTCACTGGGGGATCTCTAGTGCTTATATTTTGGCAAAGGGAACATTGTTTCTTGTTGTCTCCTTTATTCATATCATTCAAAGTTTTGTGCACCTCAATTATGTCACCTGTCACTCACTTCCTTTCTAGGTAAACAGCTATAGCTCCTTGACCATTTCAGTTGCCTTCCTCTTGCCTTCCTCTGGCTATACTATACCCTTTTTGAAGTCTGGTGACCAGAGCTCGACATAATATGCCAGATGCAGCTGCAACATCAGTTTACATCAGGGCATTATGATATCTGCTGGGTGAAAGTTGCACTAAAAATCTAAATTGTTAACTTATTATGGTTTACAGTCAGCTTTCCTATTAGTCAAGGAAGTTATAAACAGCACCAAGGAACAGGAAACAGATAACTGACACAGCAAAAAACAGAGGTTGCATAAGATGAACAAAACATAAATACTCTGTCTGGTTGAGAAAGCAGAATTCTCAAATCTAGGGAATTTAAAAGAAAAGAGAAAAGTGGAAATCCTTTGAAGCCACATAGTGTTAATAGAAGAGCAAGAAAATGACAATTTAAGCAGATTCATTTTAGACGGTATTCTGCCTTTTTACATTAGAGATAGGTATATCTGTGTCAAATACCTTGCTATACAACAGTTAATGCAAAAAACTTAGTGGTAGTCTGAGCCAAAAATCCAAAATTATGAAAATTATGAATTTAATAGAAATTAATGATTTTTTTTGCTATTTTTGTCCAAGGACAGAGATGTGGAACTGCAAGAATATATTTTAAAAATCACATTAACTATTAGTTAGGATTTAAAGAATCCTTCCTTAAATTGGGTTTTTTTGAGATTGTTTATAATCCAATTCCAATAATTTTTATATGCTGGAAGCAAATTAAACAGAATTCCATACCAGGCTTACTCCTCTCTTTGTTAGGAACTGGCCCAGCCTCTTGGCACGACCACCAAAAAATTTCCCCAAAGCACTGATCCATGTTAAGCAGAGTGGAACACCAAAAAGTCCATAAAAGATACAGAAAAGTCGCCCAGCTGAAGTTTTTGGAGCAACATTTCCATAACCTGAAAAAGAATATTGTGATTAAAAATTAACCATACCAGGAGAGTCACATGTAACAAAAGGTGTAATTTGCCTTTTATGATTAGATGCTGAAAAAATCATAGAGCTTATTCTTAATTTTCCCCCTCTTTCCTTCCATCTTTCCCAGAATCATAACCTTCTCCAAAGTTAGGTCTTTTTCATAATAAATCCTATCTTTTTCATAACATATCCCAGTCATTTGTGCCTCAAGTGACAACTCTGGGTTGATTTCTTTTCTTGGCTGCCCATTATATTCTCAGGAGTCTTCTCCAGGATCACCAAAGTTCAAAAGCATGAATATGCTTCCTATCCTGCTCCTTCGAAGTCCAACTTTCAGTTTCATGTGGTATCACAAATAATATACTTGCCTTTGCAATTCTGAACTTTATAGTTATAGATACATTAGGGTGTCTGAATATCTTTTCCAAGACCTTCATGGCTGCTCTTAATCTGTGACATATTTCTTGACTGCTTGTTCCTTTATTACTGATAGTTGATCCTAAAAGGCACAAGCTATCCAGCACTTCAATACAGTACCTTCATTGTTTATTCCAAGGCTAGTTGTCTGTTCTAAAGCATGTTGTCATTAATTTGGTCTTTATGTTTAATTTGCAGATATCTTGCTTTTTACTGTCATTGATAGTAGCCATTAAAGCCATTCTCATCTTCAAACCAGCTTCCTTTAATTTATATTCAGCATATAGGTTGGGTAAATAATAGATTATAGAAATTATATAGCCTTGCCTCATTCCTTTGCCAACCGGGAGCCAGGTTGCTTCCTGACTTGTACAAAGGTTTCTCACAGGACAATAAGATATTTTGAGATTCTCGTTTTTTAAAGCACATTCCACAACTTGACACGATTGACAACTCAAAGGCTTTTTAATAATCTATTTGGCACATAATGACTTATTTTTTGGTATTCTTTGGCTTTCTCAATTATCCAGCATGCAGCAGCAATAAAATCTCATGTTTCTTTTCTAAAGCTTGTTGAGGATTTGGCATCTCTTTTTCCATGTAGGGTTCTAATCTATATTGGATGGCCCTAAGCATTGCTTTGCTACAAAATGTGAAATTAAGAATATTGTACAATATTTCTGATTCTTCTTCAAGTTGCTTGCCATATTTCAATGGACAGTCCACTAGTTCCTATAGTCTTTTGATTTGTTAATGGTTGGAGGGCTGATCTAACTTCATCTTCTAGTACAGAGTTCCCCAATGTTTCCAGGTTTGCGGACTGGAGTGGGGCAGAGGGGACTGTTCTGCAGCCGGTAAGTATGAGTGCATGTGGCTCCATTTGCGCGAGTGGCATGAATGTGCACATGCTGCACATGCTCGCTGGCCATTTTCCTGGCCCAGTTGCAATCCCCTCATGGACCACAAGTGGGCCATAGCCCACAGGTTGGGGACCCCAGTTCTAGCAAACATTGTGAATGCCAAAGTACAAAAATGTTTATGGGTTGTTTATGGGAAATATTGGAAAAGAGAAACCATCACATATATTTCAAATAGATTTTAATAATAGTAACAAATGAAACATGGTGCTTTATTTGATTTAGCAGCAAGGTTTCTAATTCCCTTTCTCACTTTCCCTGGTCAGTTTATTTTCCAACACTATGTGTGTTCTGCATCAGATCAAACAAACTTTGTAAACTCTTATGGGTGTGTGTTTTTTTGTATCTTACAGGGATAGCACAAAAGCAAACCCAAAAATAATGTCATCCCATAATTCCATTATCATATTTCTTCTGTGATTTTTCCAACAAAGTCAGCAATACCTTGAGAACTGCAGGGAAAACATTTCTCACTGCGGTATTGTAAAGCCACCATCTTGAAATACATAGCTTTTGAAAAAATAATCTTCTCATAAAACGTATGGCTTTAGAAATACAATTATTAGGCATTTCTATGGAAGAAAAATATTGTCATAGAAATCTCTATTTCCCCTGTGCTTTCCTCCCCTATGTTTTACACAATAGATTGATTCAAAGACAGTGAACAAGGAATCTATTCCTACTAGCACATTCATGATGCCAATATTTGTGTCTCTAAACTGCCAGTCTTAAAAAGACAAAGAGACATTGAGATCTAGAAGACTGCCAGACTAAGATAGCCTCCAGCTATCCCCTCCAGCTTTTTCCAATGTTTCAGTTTTTCATTTTATTAAATAGTATTTTCCTGTATTGTTTAATATATAAATGAACCTCCATATGGACAAACTGATACTTACCAATGGTTGTAATCACTGTAGCAGCAAAGATGACAGCATTAGGCCAGTTCCAGTAATTAAATGTATCATTAGCATCGATTGAAACTCCTTGCCCAGCAGCTTCTGAGACCACCTATAAAAAATGACACATGTCATTCAAAAAATGAGGCATGTCATTCATTTATATATTATAAAAAGAGAAAGAAAATGTGTCTTTCCAATTCTTCATATGTTTGTGGCCTACTAATAAACATGGCCACAGTAACAAATTTTAAATTAAAAATGTACTTATCAGAACAAATACCCAATGTTCAATAATTGTGGATTTTAGAAACTGAATAGAAAAACAGTAGCACATGGTAAATCATTTAATTCTGAGCAAATTTGGAAAAATATAATAAAATCCTTTTATGCAGAAACTAATAACCTAAATTTGAATTTAAATCTGACTGCTGTTATTGCTGTTTAAAACAACCAATATTATCATCCCTTGCAAGGCACAGCAAATGCTAAAAAAAATTCAAAACAATAGAACCAGAGTGGAATGGGGTTTTTTGCTTCATACCTTAAAATTAATTTTATAGTATCAGGTCAAATCTCAAAGATCAAATTGTCTCTTGGTATTTGAGAAAGTATGTGTGTATGTGTGTGTGTGTGTGTGTGTGTGTAGTTATTCATTACTGAAATTTGATTTTCAGTATTACAATCAAATTAGGTTCTGTGATTGTTAAAGCATTCTTTCCATTCTTTTCAGTAACATTACTTAAGAAAAAATCAACTACTGTTCTCCACAGGCAACTTACACCTTTTCTTATTGGCCTATTTATTTACATAGACACCATTTCTCCAGGAGCTCCAGGCACATGTGGATCAATTATATTTTATTCCCACTATAATAACTCTGTGGGATAAGATATGTCACTAACCTGGCATCATCTAATGGCTGAGAGTGAGCTTGAACCCAGTTTACATCATCGTGCTAAATCTCTGAGAGAGGCATGTGAATACATTCCAGCAGAGATAATACCAATGTAAAATAGTCTAGTAGTTTAAACATTTGACTGGGCCCGGGAAGACTCATTTTTAAGTCTTACTCAGCCACATAGTTTACTGCATGATTTTAGTTAAACATCTATCTCAGCATAAGACTTCTCTTCTGGTGACAAATTAAGGTTAGGCTTCAGTGTAAACCTCCTTAGGTTTCAGAAAATGGTGGGACAGCAGTGCCACAAAATTCACAAACTATGAATCTGTGGAAAAGGATTCATTCCTCCAGTGAAAATGAATGTAACAGACTTGTTTAGTCTCTTTAATAAACAAATGAAATTGAAACTTAAAAGATTGGTCTGAAAAATTCAGATTGCAAAACAGACCACATCATCCATCCTATTAATACAGTGTGCATTGAAACTCAGGCAATGCCTATAACAACTCTTATCCTTCCTGTATATGTTAAATAATACCATCACTCTCTGTTAAAACGGTGAACAGGTAACACTGACTATAATGCCAAGGCATTCATGCAGAAACATCTAATAATTATAATCTGTCTCATAGTCCAGGGTCAGGTAGAACATTGAGCACAAAAGTTGGCTTTATAAAAAGACAGAGAGGAGTAAGCAGAAGATAAGAATAAAGTTAATATGATAAGAAGATAAGAATAAAGTTAACAAAATGCATAGCTTGGCCAAGAGATTATTGCTATAGCAGGTGAAGCCCAGGTCACATTGTTGAGGCCTATGTCCTCCACTGCAGGTGGAATGGCCAGTAGGTAGGAATGGTGTAGGTGTAGGCCAGTGTCAGCTGAAAAGGTCCTTCCCCCAGTGTCAACCCTTCACTCAGTTTCTGATTCAGAAAGGATAGCTAAAGTCAAATACATTTATATGTGAATCAGTGATGTCATGTACCTTTTATGATGTCATGTACCTTTTAAACAACTATAGCTGAAACAATGATTCAATCTAGCATGATCTATGTCATCTGGAATCAAATGAACAACTGCATTAGTGACCTTGTTTTGCACAACAGTATCCACCCATTTATATTAATTTGTCATACTACTTGCATGTGTGAATGGCTAGAGCTATTTTTCTGAATCTATAGTTAAACCACAAAAATATTAATTTAATCAAAAGAGGAGGAAAATAAAAGGAGCATGTGAACTGGACACTAGTTTCTCCACAACAATTATACCCCACAAAACTGCTTGCCTGCCTGCCTATCTATCTATCTATTCTTTCTTATGCAAGATATTTAGATATCACTTTGGCCATTCCAGCTTTTAAAATACCAGGACTAGCAGAGTATATACAGATGTAGAAAAGGATCATTTTCTGACAAACGCATAACTGTACCTCTGCTTTTGCTTCTATTTTACTGCTAGCCATTAGGTAAGAGAAACTGTGTTAAGCAGAGGTAAATTTCACTGGGCTTTGTTTGATTTATGTCATTTTTAACCGTTAACAAAGTTTCCACTCAAATGATTTACTCTGATTTCTTATCCATGAAATATCTGAAACAATCTTTAAGTGTTTGTGTTGCGGGGTAAGAGGTGGAAAGCATAAATCAGCAGATGGAAAGGAAGAGCCCATCATTTCAGTTCATATCCTGAGGAGGCTACAGGGCCAACTCTTTTCACTGCTGTGTCAACATTTCACAAGTTTACACTCATAGCTGTTCCTCTGCCAAAGATGCACCTCCCTCTGGTCCCTATTGGCATGCTCTGACTTAGGATGAGCTGTGGCCTTGCTTGACACTGCTTTCATTATACTTCCCACATATTTTAGCTATAATACTTCTTAAAACGAGATTGAATCAACAAAAATAATTTTATAGTGCATAGAGTAGCCATAAAAAATCAGGATATTTCTGACAATTTGAAGTATGAAACAGAACAGGCATTAACTTATTGTTGCTTTTAATAGAGAATCTAATTGTTATTATATTATGTAGATTTTTTTTTCTAAAGGTCCTTCAGTTTTTATTATCTGGAAGCTGCAAAATCAAGAGAAAAATCAAAAGACTATATTTATGGAAATTATAAAAATTCATAAAAAGATTTAACTTTCTTGGCTAAAAACTTTTCCTCACAGACTTCTTGCAGATTTCATGCATTGTTTAACTCTAAGCCATAGCTATTTGCAGGAAATTCTCAAGTGAAAAATCATGCTTTTTAACATAATATATCTAAACTTATTTAGATTTTCAGAATTTTGAAACTATGTTTTGCTATTTTTGCTCTGATCAGGAGAGAACTAAAGTTGTTCTAGAGATTTGTAAAGTAATTGTGTATTATGGGAAGTAGCAACAAAACCACAATGATTTCCAAGATACATCTATGAATATGTCCAACACATGTTTAAAGCCACAGTGTAATCCATTCACATAATTAAATCACAGAACCCTTATAATTTGGATTTCATGCTTTATAATTCTTTGTTAACCACCCTATGCTATAAGGAAGTACATTTTAAGTTTAAATAAATTCTAGTTACAGAACACATTCAAACAGGATTCTTTTACAAAAATAAATCTTGCCTTTTAGCTATGCTATAAACAGAAAATACATATACAAAGCATATATAATCTCATTACTCATTACTAAAAAATCTAACAGGATAGAAAAAAATTACATAATGCAAAAGTATCAATTGGAGTTGAATTGAAAACTGCACTGTGATGAAAGAACATAAAACAACTGAACATTCATACAAGCAAGCACTGTATGGAAAGACTTATTCTGGGTCTGTGAACTCTCACCATATAAGTTGCTGAAATAATAAATCACAGACAGTAGTTTGGGAAGTGACAGGAAAGCTAAAACCTGAATTCTGGAAATTGCTCAGTCTTCTGAATGGTTTTTTTAATGCTTTAACAAAACAATAATGTAAATCTACAGTTTAACAGACTGATGGGAAAAGGGCATCAAAGGGAGCTGGCTGTTTGTTAAATAACAAATAGGACTTTTAAAATAGCAATAGCGCTTAGACTTACATACCATTTCACAATGCTTTACAGCCCTCTCTAAGCGGTATAGAGTCAGCACATTGCCCCCACCAATCTGGATCCTTATTTTACTGACCTCAGAAGGATGGAAGGCTGAGTCAACCTTGAGCCTGGTGAGATTCGAACTGCCAAATTGCAGGCAGCCAGCAGAAGTACCTGCAGTACTGCATTCTAACCACTACGCCACCACAAATTTAATGTATAAAATCTGTATAAAATAACATGAGCATTATCTGCACTGATAAGCTAAATGAGGATCTTGATGGTTGCTTTAGACAAGCAAGTTATGGACAAAATTTAAATGTTGTCTCTTATGTCCAAAATACTGGTTCAAGATTCATGAAAACAAGGTTCCACTGTAAATATCTTCTAACCTCTCAGCAACCCCAATGGTTGTAAACTTCCTTGAAAATTATGTGGTACATCCATAACCCTTGGAACACTTATGTGACAGCTGACAAAGTGGAGGCACTAAGGTCCATCAAAGTTTTGTTATGAATGGCTGCTATTTTTCTAAACATACTAGGACATTATTATCTGAAGTTAGATTGATGCAGTCAGTTCTGATCAACACTGATAAAGCCGACTATTCCAATAATAATATTCAACAACAATGAAACTTGTTACATTATAGCCCCAACAGGTTTCACTAGATTATGTTAATAGTTTGCCCTCTTGGCATAAAGAGGCTTACATGCTAATACAAGTAGGATCAACAGCACCAGCAGCAATAACATGAGTGTTTTTAGTGCCAAGAAAGAGCTATATGGAAAGAATACAATAAGTGACTGACTCCAGATTTTGATATAGGATGGCCTGAATGTTTATCAGTGAATACTTTTAGGACAGTTATATTTTGTGATGATTTAATGTCTAGCACTATTCAAACCTTCATCTCCCCTATTTACCAGTGTTCTCTCAGAATTCAGTTGCACAACAGTTGCAACAGGGCTGTCAGAGCAGATATGATCAGCTACAAACCATTAGTTTCCTGGATAGCAAACTGATGAATTTGTTCTCCAATATACTCTCCAGTACTCAAGATACAATCTTTTTTCCTAGCAGATAGGCCCACTTCCAAAGAAAGCAATGAGTTGCGACCACCTACTTTTATATTTTATTGGAGCA